CAAGGGCCTGACTTTCTCGCTGCCTCTGCCTCTGCGGAGCCACTCAGATCGGTGCCTGGGGCTGTCCACGCCGAGGGCTCTGGTCCAGGAGGTCGCTCTGTCCCAGGGTCGCCATCATTCGTGAGGTTTCAGACAAGCTGCATGTGGTCCCAGCACGTCCTGAGGTCGGAAGGAGTCTCAGGAAGCCAGGCCTGGCGGGAAGGCTGGTGGCCCGCAGGCCGGCGGCACCTCCCTCTGGCACTGTCCCAAGTCCCAGGGCAGGTTCCGGGATCTGCGTCCTCGACCGGGACAGGAGCAGGAGGCAGAGGGGCATGTGCTCCCGTGCTCTGTTCAGGCTGCTGCCACTGATGGGGCGGGAGCCGTGGGCCGTGCCAGCCCTGGTGGCCATTCAAGTCTCCTGAGCCCAGGTGGCTGCCCAGCACCCAGACCACAGGGAGGCTGGTCCCACGGCGTTCCCCTCCCTGACTCCCTGTGGGCGGCCCAGAGCCAGTCCTCGTCCCAAGGCCCTCCCTGGGGCCCCCTGGACCCACAGGGTGTGGGGACCCCTGGGGAGCAGTGCCAGGGCCTCCCTGACGTGATGGGTGTTCTGTGGGCCGCAGCCCCCACGCCGCAAAGCTGGCTGGGTAAGGACGCTAATGGGCGCCAGGCCCTTCCAGGTCTAAGCCAAGCGCCGTCCCACCTGCCGTTTCCCTTTGCAGTCACCTCCTCTGGACACAGAACCAGCTGTCCCAGCGGGCGGAAGCCCATCTTACCGCAGGACCGTGCGTCCCCGCAGAGTGCCAGCTCCTCACACGCCATTTTACTTACTTTTTAAACTATATTTTTATTGACGTCAGAGAGGAAGGGAGAGGGAGAGAGAGAGAAGCATCAATGATGAGAGAGAACCATGGATCAGCTGCCTCCTGCACGCCCCACACGAGGGATCGAGCCCACAACCTGGGCCTGTGCCCTGACTGGGAATGGAACTGTGACCTCCTGGTTCATAGGTCGATGCTCATGCATTGAGCCACGCCGGCCGGGTGACATGCCATTTTTAAAGCACAGAAACAAGCTCCCTTTTCGGGCTGGATGACCAGGCGCAGGGCTATACTGTTCGCAGGAGGGTCCTAGGGTGCACTGCACATGCTCCCACTGGGGCCTGGCACCGGGGGCTTCCCCAGAAGGGCTGAGCGTGCCAGCGACCGCACACCCAGCAGCCAGGACCCTGAACTCAGGCTCTTCCCAAGCTTGCCCGCCCCCAGCCCACAGTTTCCTGAGCACCACGTGTGCCAGGCCCGTGCCCACACCGTACAAGGGGTGGACCTGCTGTGGACCTGCTTAGTGTCAAGCCCCCATAGCAGGTGCACAGCAGTTATACAGCAGGTATACAGCAGGCACATAGCAGGCGCACAATAGGCACACAGCAGGTATACAGCAGGCGCACAATAGGTACACAGCAGGCACACAGCAGTTATACAGCAGGCACACAGCAGTCATACAGCAGGCGCACAGCAGGTACACAGCTGGCGCATAGCAGGCGCACAGCAGGTATACAGCAGTCACACAACAGTTATATAGCAGGCGCATAGCAGGCGCACAGGAGGTATACAGCAGGTGCACAGCAGGCTGCCACAGGGCTGGGAACAGCGACCCCTTGGCTAGGAATGGGGCAGTGAGCAGCGGCTGTGGTTTCGCCTGGGAACACGTTGACACTCACAGGCAGGCCTTTAATAGGTCTCTTCTGAGGGTTCCCTCCACTCTGAAGTGGCCGCACAGTCCCTGAGCAGGTCTGCAGGGGCCGAGGGGGGCAGCAGGCACCCCCTCTCTTCCCTGAGTCCCAGCAGGGCACCGAGGCGGGGGCAGAGCCATGACGCCGGCAGGCTGGGTGAGGGGCCGGGGCAGACCTCGGGCCCATGGCCTCTGGGCTGTCACGGTGGGGGGTAGTCTCTCACGCGTGGGGCCACGGCTGAGCCTGCAAATTTGTCTTCACTCCTGGAAGGGGCCGGGGGTTGGGGCGGGGGGCAGGCCAAGCAGGGAGGCGGAGCCGCCGGGAGTGGCTCCGCTGAGGCAGGTTGGGGCAGGGCAGCCGGCTTTCCCACGGCTGCCACCAGCTGCAGGCCTGGGTGCCCCCACCAGCCTCCCCACCCGTGACAGGGACAGCGGCCTGGCTGCCGCCCCGCATGATCAGTCAGGTGACGCATCCCTGGGCTGTGCCCGGCCGCCCATGCTGTCTAGGGAAGCCCCGTAGGAACAGTGAGGCCCGCTGACTGGGGCCCTGGGCGCCTGCGGGGACTGCATGGGGGATGAGGACCCATGAGGTCCGCTGGGACCAGAGCTGGGTCACTGTCAAGGCCGGGCACCGCTCGATGCCCTGGTCCGAGAATGCTCTGGAATCCGCCTCCCCCTGCCCAGGTGTTGCCCTGTGCTCACAGCAGCCCTCCAGGCCCAGGAGCCCAGAGATCCCGCGTTACCCTTGGCAACATGCTGACGCAAATGCCAGCGGGCAGGTTGGGGGCTGTGGCTCCTCTGCTGGGCTGGGGGAGGGGGCTCTGCTGGGCTGGGGGAGGCGGAAACCAGGCCCCGGAGCCGAGTGGGGGTTGGAGAGCTCTGAGCTCCGAGTCTCGGGGCCCCCAGCCTCCTTTGGTTTCTGCAAATATCAGTGTGGCCTGTTCTTGGCTGCCTTGCCCTCCAAAGGGAGAAGGAGACGGCAGGGGTAGCAGCCCTGCCCAGGCCGAGGCGGCAGGCGGAGGGGGCAGGGGCGCAGCAGAGGCGTGGCGGCAGGACCGCGCTGCCTGCAGCCCTGGGAGAGGCAGGCTCTCCTCCTCCTCCTCCTCCTCCTCCTCCTCCTCCTCCTCCTCCTCCTCCTCCTCCTCCTCACGGCTCCCGGGCGGCTGGCCCACCGTGGCAGCGCAGCAGGAGGAATGGGGGCATTGTCTTTCTCAGCAGCCTGTTTGTTTTCCGTCCTGAGATATTGCTGGTGGAGCATGAAAGGTCAGAACCATTTGGAATCCAGTGAATTTCCAGCCTCGCTTGCTTGGGTTTCTCGAGAATTTCCTTTTCTGGTGAACAACCACCTCCTGGGCCTGCCGCCTGCGCTGCCTGCGAGGCCAGGGTGGTGGCGGAGGCCGTTGGCCCGGCTGCCAGCCCCTCCCGCTCGAAAGCGCCCTGAATGGCCCCGGAGCCCGGCCCCTCCGGGAGGCGACGAGGCTCACAGAACCCCACGGCCAGGCCCAGGCCGGCAGCCTCTGTTCTCACCCGGGGCTCCCACTGTGGCCTCCCGCGGGGGCAGGGCAGGGGAAGCCAGAGGCACGAGGCCCCCGGGGACGGCCTGTCCTCCTGGCTGTCCGCTCAGCCTGGCTGGGCAGCCACTCGCTCGCACAGGAGCTGCGCCCGCCCTGTGACGAGTGACCGCCATGGAGTGACCGCAATGGGGGGGGCGCAGGCACCGGCTGGGGTCAGGAGAGGCCTCCCAAGGGGGTGACACCTGGGATGAGACCTGGAGGGCGGGGCAGGAGGGCAGGTGCTGACGGCTGGAGAGAGCAGAGCACGTGGGAGAATGAAGCGCACACAGGCCAAAGCAGAGAGAGAGCGAGGCAGAGGGGAGGCGAGGATGGGCCGGCCGGAGCCAGGAGGGCCTCGGGCAGAAGGCCTGGCCCTGGGCCCGTGTGTGAGGACATGTGGGCCACCTCCTGGTTGGCAGAAAGCAGAGATGAAAGCCAAATCCCTCCGCAACACACGGGCCCAGCTGGGGCCCAGGCACCCTGCCGCCTGCGTCCTGGCACACCTGTGGACCCGGGCTCGGCGGGAGACGAGCCCGGCGCCCAGGGGCCTCGCCGCACCAGCCCGGAGATGACAGACGACAGCCTGAGCGCCGGTCCCCGAGGGCTGGGAGCACAGGCTATCGCCCGCCTCAGGACCATCAGAAAAGGACAAGCCGAGGAGCCGACCGCCGGAGTCGATGCGGCTGGAAGACCTTCGCCTCAGCCTCACAGCCTGGCCGGCCCCCAGCCCTCTGCCCTCAGCAATGCCCACAAGGGCCTGACCTGGCCTCGCTGGGTTGCCCCACAAGGCGCGGAGGTAGCGGCAGGCAGAAGAGGAAGGGCGGCTGGAACTCAAGACCACACGGCGCTGGGCGCAAGGCGGGCCTGTCCTGGGGACAGTGTCCTCGGCTCAGGCCCCTCCCACCAGCGACACCCCTGGGCACAGCTCCGGGGAGAACCCCAGGGGCATCGCGGGGCAGTGAGGAGGGCCCTGCCCGGCCTCCATGGCTGCCTGCAGCTGCTTCCCTTCTCCAGGAGGCCGGTCTCCTTGCGAACCCGCACACCCTCCTCCAGAACAGCACGCAGGTGCCCAGCACAGACCTCCTCGAGCGCAGGCCCAATGAGGACTTCCCAGCTGAGCTCGCACACATAGCTACCACCTGCCTTAACGAGACCGGGGAGGGAGCAAGCCACTGCCCTGGTCCCCCAGACCTGAAGGCCGGCCCCCATTTACCAGCGTGGTGGGGGGGTCCCCCATGAGCATCATCACCCCTGCCCTAGGTCCTACCCACACTGCCTCCCCCAGCCCCCGGCACCCCCAGCCCCACCACAAACCGCTCCTCGTGGACCCGTGTGCCTCATGCCCCACCCAGATCAAAGGCCTCCGGAGGGCAAATTCCGCGTCTGAGCTCAGTGCTCCTGCCTGGCCCAGAACCGCCGCTGCAGGGCGGGCGGGGGAGGCCTTGGCCATGGCCATCCCTCGTCTGGCCGCCTGGCCTCTGCCACCACCACTCCCGGGAGCCAGGGAGCCGGGCACCTCGCGCACTGGCCTCCTGCCTTGGTCCTCACAGCAGGTGTGACCCTGAGGTCCCACGGTGCCGGTGGAATCCCGTGCTCCACATCTACCCCAGCCACACACCTCACGGCAGCCACCTGGACCCCTCTGACGGCAGCCTCGACGCACCCCCCCCTTGGACACGCCCAGGACCCCCCGCTTCCCGGGAGGCGGCGGCGGGAAGAGAGGAAAAGCTGGCCGCTCACCGTCTGGTTGTCCTCGTACAGCTTCAGGTCGTAGCCGCTAAGCTCCACGCAGAAGATGATGGCCGTGACCCCCTCGAAGCAGTGGATCCACTTTTTGCGCTCGGACCGCTGCCCGCCCACGTCCACCATCTTGAAGGTGAGCTCCTTGAAGGTGAACTTGTTCTCCACGATGCCCGTGGTCATGTCCCGGGAGCGCAGGATGTCCTCCACGGTGGGGATGTAGTCGGGCGCGGCGATGCGCTCCAGGTCGTTCAGGTAGTAGGCCGCGTTGTCCTCCAGGTGGTACTCGTTGGAGCGGCCGAAGCAGGTCTGCGCGCCGGGGTCGGCCCACAGCCGCCGCATGACGCCCAGCAGCTCGGGCGTGATCTCGCCCTTGCTCTCGGCCGGGCCGGTCAGCGCGAACAGCTGCACGGCGTCGTAGGCGCGGTCGGGGTTGTGGAAGTCGATCTTGAGCGCGGCCAGGGCGCGGATGATGCGGGTGAGCGAGTCGATGGCGTTGTAGAGGATGAGCGGCTTGTACTCCTTGCAGGCCTCCAGGTTGAAGCCGCCGCTGTGGATGATCTTCATCTGCTTGACGATGGTGCTCTTGCCCGAGTTGCTGGTGCCCAGCAGGAGCAGCTTGATCTCGCGCCGCTGCCGCTGGCTCTCCGAGCGCAGGTGCCGGTCGATGCGCCGGGACCGACGTGCCGCCTCTTTCTCCTCCGAGCTTTGCCGACATCCCATGGTCTGGCAGCGGCGGCGGCGGGGACAGGAGCGCGGGACGGGTGCCTCTCCCTCTGCCCCGAGGGGCCGGGATGCTGAGACTCACTCGGGCGGTGTGCCCGCGGCCCTTGGGTGCTCAGTGCAGGTGGCGGGGCGAGGCCGGGCCCCGCTGCAGCCCCTGCCCCAGCGCCTCTTCTGCAGCTGGCATGGCGCTCCGGCTGCGGGAGGGGCGGGGCCCTCCCTCTAGCGACACTCCCCCGCCCCGGGCTGCCACCTGGCCTGAAGCACAGCAGTCATTTCCTGTCCTCCTGGTGGTGGGAAGCGGTCCGCTCGCCTCTGCCTAGGCTGTGGCAGTCTGGTCCCCGGTGGCTGTGGCGATGCTGCTGAGCGAGGCTGGAAGGCCTGCCGCCAGGGCCTCGGCCGCGGGTTCTCCCTGCGGCCCCCCTGCCTCGGGCATCTGCCCTTCACCTGCCGATACAGAGAACAGTGTGAGTCTCCTCCCATGGAGTAGTGGGGGAGGGGGGCCCCTCAGGGGAAGCAGTGACTAAGCCCCTCCCTGGAGCACCACCCAGTTTGTTGAAGCCGGTGCTCAAGGAAAGAGGGCCCATCGCTCCGCCAGCTGCCAGCGTGGGTCCGTGGTTGAGCGTCGACCCAGGAACCAGGAGGTCTCAGTTCGATTCCCAGTCAGGGCACAAGTCCTGGTTGCAGGCTCCGTCCCCAGTGTGGGGTGTGCAGGAGGCAGCCGATCCATGATTCTCTCTCATTGTTGATGTTTCTCTCTCTCTCCCTCTCCCTTCCTCTCTGAAATCAATAAAAATATAAAAAAGAAAAAGCGGTGAGGCCCTTACCTAACACCATAAACAAAAATTGGCCAAGTGGGTCGAAGCCTTTAGAACGCGTCAGGCAAACGTTGGATGGGCGGTGATTTCTTGGCCATGACACCAAAGACACGGGCAACAAAAGGAGACAATCGACGAGTTGGACTTCATGAAAATTAAAAAATCCTGTGCATCAACACACAGTATCAATGGGGAGGAAACATGTGCCAGGCATGTATTTGCTGAGGGGTGAATTCTAGCATATACAGAAAACCCCAAAAACTCAACAACAAAAACTAAGTCAAAAGCAGGCAAAGACATTACACAGGCATTTCTCCAAAGAAGACAAGCAAGTGGCCGGTAACTGCATGAACACGCCCCACATCAGTAACCTCCAGGGCAATGCCAATCAAACCCCCATGAGACGCCCTCACGCCCTCCGACGGCCACTGTCAACACAGCAGACGTAATGCAGCTGGTGAGGGTGCGCGGGACTCAGGACTCGGCGCGCTGTTGGTGGGAACGGAACACGGGGTAGCTGCTGTGGAAAACAGCGTGGAGGTTCCTCAAAAAATTAAAAATAGAACTAGCAGATGTGCTCCAGCAATTCCCCTTCTGGGTACAGACCCAAAGGGACTGCCATCAGGTCCGGGAGAGATCTGTATGCGCCCTTTGGACGCAGCGGCGTTCACAGCAGCCGAGATGCAGAAGCAACTGACGGATGGACGGACACGCAACCTGGGGCCCATCCTTCCGAGGAAATAACACTCGGCCTTAACAAAGGGGGGGAATCTGACGCAGGCTACGCATGGATGAACCTCGAGGACAGCCGCCAAGTGAAGCAAGCCCGTCACAAAAGGACGGACGCTGCACGGTTCCACGCACACGAGGTGCCCGGAGGCACGGAGTTCACAGCGACAGAAAGCGGGATGGGGGGGGCGGGGAGCTGTTTAACCGGACGGGGTTTCAGTCTGGGAAGATGAGCAAGTTCTGAAGATGGATGGCGGTGAGGGTTGCGCAACACTATGAATGTACTTAGTCCTTCTCAGCTGTACACTGAAACGCGGTCAAAATGGTAAATTTTATGTGATGTGTATTTTATCACCAAAAAATGTTTTGTTGGAGACCTACCAAAAAAAAAAAAAAAAAAAAAAAAAAAAAAAAAGGCGAAGGCCACGTGTGTGGGAGAAAGAGGCGGCGGGTGACGGCCCTGGCTTCCCCGAGCGGAGGCCTGTCCGGCCCGCATTGTCCACATTGTGCGCGGCGGGGTGCCAAGCCCCGTGGGGGGCGACCCTTGCCCTTCCAGGCTAGGTCCAGAGCCGCCCTGTCCGAGGAGGCCTGGCTGTGCTTTGAGAGCATGTGCCCCACGGCCTGGTGGCCGCGGGCTGGGCTCCGAGAATCAGGTCCTGACCAGTGCACACCGGTAGCCGCAGGGCAACTTAGGAGGAAAGGGGAGATGGTGGCCGTGGTGGCCGCTGTCTGCGACCAGCCTGCCATCTGCTCGGGGCAGCACCCAGTCACAGCTGAGGTGGTCCCCTCGCTGGGGACACCCTCTTGCTTCAGACCCCCAGACTCACACGCTGGGGGCCCACACGGGGCTCTTCCGGCAGCTCTGCGGCTCAGCTGCCATGGGAGTGGCATGGGGCGGGGGCGGGACCTTCCATTGTCCCTGCTACGTACTGGGCCAGGGATCTGAGCGTGGCACATGGGCAGGTCGGAGGTCACAGCTGACCGAAGCAGACAAAGACCTGTGCCCGAGTTTCCAAGGGTGAGGGGGGCAGGAGTCAGAGCGAAGGCGGCACATGAACTGTGATGGGGGAAGGCACCACGATCCGAGGGCCGGGGAGGGTGCGAGGCGGCAGGGCTGGAGAGGCGGGCTCGCCTCCCGACAGGTGATGGTGAGAGGTGACCGTGGGCAGGAGGGCAGGGAGGGGGACCTGCCTGTGCCAGGGCCTCCGGGTGAGACTGTGCCCGACAGGGAGGTTAGGGAGGGGGACCTGCCTGTGCCAGGGCCTCTGGGTGGGACTGTGCCCGGCAGGAGGGCAGGGAGCAGGCGGGCGCCGGGGCTGGAGGAGCCGGCAGGGGGTCACGGTGGACGTAGGCTTCTCCTCTGCGCGGGGCAGCCAGGCCGGAGCAAGGTGTGTGCCCTGCAGACGGGACTGAACAGCTTTTTGGAGCAGGGAGGCTCCTGCACGAAGCTGTTGGGGAGGGGCGGCGGGTGGGGAGCGCTGGGGGAGGTGAGCTCACGGGCTGCGCAGTGGAGTTAGGGCTCAGGGCGCCCGGGGAGGGGACCTGGGAGGAGGCGGCGGGGGTACCACGTGGGCTCATGCGGATGCGTGGACCCGCCGGGGCTCCCAGCAGCTGGGGCTCCTCTGCCCGTGGCTCTTGAACTCCCCGGAGGCTCCTCACAGGCCTCCCTCAGTCGCCCACCCAGCTGCCTGTGCTCCTAGAGGCTGCCAGGGGTGACCCCCAAACCGACAGCCCCCGCCGCACACCCCACCCCGGGGCCGCTGGGGTTGGTTAAACACCTGGGGTCACACGGGCAGGAGGAAGCGAGCGCCACAGGCACCAAACGGGGACCTTCTCCTCCGGGAAAGGCCTGAGAGAGAAGCAAGCATGGCCTCCCTCCGGGGAGCTGGGTGCCGCTCACAGCGGGGCCTCGGGGCCCTCATGGGGTTTGGTGGCTGCCCAGCCCTTGGGGTGCCAAAGGGCGCTCAGGGAACCGGGGTCCAGGCCACGCGAGGGGGACCCCGGGCAGAGGCAGCGGGGTGGGGCCGAGGGCTCCGGGCCCTGGTGCAGTGCTGCACCCCTGCCCTCACTCTGGCCAGAGCCACCCCTTCTCTCAGGAAAGGGCCCCACCCCGCCCTACGGTGCCCCTGCTGCTCAGTTCCACGGGCCTGTCCCCCGGGCACCCTCGCTGCTTCTCCCAGCGCTCAGCCACCCAGCCACAGGCGCAGCGGGCACCCGGCCCCAGGCCTCCACCTCAGATCCCGCGGGCAATCAACCCACCCACCACCGGCGTCTGCCCCTCTCCCTGCCCTCTGGGAACTGAGCCCGGGCGCAGGCTCTGCTGGGGCTCGGGGGACAGGGGTGGAGGGACCGAGTCTGGGCATCCTGGGTCCGTGAGGCCATTTCTGATCAGAGCGGCGCCTGGAGATGAGGGAGCAGGCGAGGCGGGCTGACTAGAAGGCGGGGGGACGGGACGTTCCGGGGAAGTGAGGCCCCCCTCCCCCTCCATTCTGCTCCCTGGTTGCCGCTCTCCTTCCTTCTGAGCCAGTCGCTGTGAAAGATGTGAGGACAGATGGATGGGCACCGAGACAGCGGGCCGCTCTCAGGCTCCCAGCATCCCTGCTGCGCGCATGACCTCGCGTGACCTCGCCCCCCCCCCCCCCCCCCGGGCCACCAGGGCCCGTGGCTGAGGACCCACTGTGGCAACCACTCCCAAGCCCTTGGCACCCCTGGGACTCTGGGACTCCTCCCTGTGCCCGCCCTCCCCACGACGCCCCAGTCCATTCACCCTCCTCCCCAAGGCCAGGCAAGGCCCTGAGGGCCCCAAGAACTGTGTGGCCTATTGTGCTTTCGACACCTGCCCCCAGCGGATGGCTCCTCCTCCCACCTTCTCAGTCTCACTAGGGGGCGGGGTCCTCTTGAGCCCTCCTCCTGCCCACCCCTCCTCTCCCCCTCCCACCATCCGCACAGCCCTCCCTGCCCCCTCCCTTCCCAGTTAGCTCGTGCCCCGCCCCAAACCCCATCCTGCCCACTCCCCATCCTGCAGACAATAAGACCGGTCCGGGGGCGGGGTGGGGGGGTGGGGGTGGGCACGCAGGACCGTGCAGAGCATCGTAGAAATGGCGGTATTTCTTATCGCTAATAGTTCACGTTAACCTGAGACAGAGGCGTGCTCGCATCTGCCCGTTTTGGGAGCCAGGACCGCCTCTCAGAGCTGTTACCCCACAGCCACCAGGTGTGACGGACAGCGACATTCTCACAGGGGTGAGGTGGCAAAGTGACCGGGACGGCGCGTAGCTGTCACGACTCCCCGCCCCCACTCGCACGCGGCCTTGCCCACACCAACCCCACCACGGCCCCACGGAGGCTTTCGGAGCCGCCGCGTGTCCACGGCAGCCCTTCCCGTGCTCACATGGCACCGCTTACAGGACGCTCCGGGACAATCACAATGACACGCCACGACGCACACAGGTGTGGGCACACACCACTGCCAAAGGGGAGGGGCCGGAGGGCGCGGCGCGGACGCCCGCTGTCCTGGGACAGTCACCTGCAGGGTCGCGGCCTGTGCGCCACGGGAGAAGGCGGCACCCACTCGCCCAGCGAGCGCTGGGGACAGGGGCAGAGGGCTTCTGAGCGCCAGGATTTCTGTAAGGCTTGTATTTATTTTTAATATTTTTATTGATGTCAGAGAGGCAGGGAGAGGGAGAGAGAAACACCAATGATGAGAGAGGATCATGGATCAGCTGCCTCCTGCACGCCCCACACTGGGATCGAGCCCGCAACCCCGGCAAGTGCCCCGACCGGGAATCCAACCGTGACCTCCTGATTCATAGGTTGACACTCAACCACTGAGCCACGCTGGCCGGGCTCTGTGAGGCTTGTAGATGGCTCTGCATTGATCAGTTTCTGCCAATATTGGGA